GCCAGCCGGGGAGCAGCTCACCGTGCTCCTGATGCCCACAGAGCAGGGGCCGTCCCCTCTGTGCTCCCACGCCTGTGGGAGTCTGGGACAGAGTGGGCGCATCCTGCTGCTTCCCCTGCAGGCCCTCCCCCACCAGGAGCCTGACTCATGGGCTCAGCCTCCAGACGGCGTGGACAGGGCAAGGGTCCCAGGGGATGACCCAAGCAAAACCTCCCTCACTTTTATCCTGAGGCCTCTGATGGCCTCAGAGATCCCATGCTGTTTTCTGACAGGGCTTTTGGCATTCTGCCATTGTCATGTCAACGGAAAAGTGGGACTTCCCGGTCAGAAGCCACTTGGCTGGCGCCTTTGCTGTGCCCATGGGGGCTCAGTGCCCCCACTGGGTTCTTCGGGAGCCTCTTAAATGGCTCCAGCAGGCATCTTATCCCGTTCACCATCTCAAGGATAAAAGTTAATATTCACAGAGCAAAAGCAGCTTTGATTTCTTTAAGAATGATTAGCAAATCGGTGATACTTGTTAAATTAAAGAATGAATCAACCACTATTCCATCAGAGGGCTTCCCTTACCTCTGATTTTCCAGCCTGATTTGAAGGAGCCTGATTTTCCAGCTTAATCATGACAAACTTCTGCGTAATCCAGTGTTATTCCTGGTACTCCTTAGGAAGGGAGGAAATAGATACAGAGACCATTAGCATCCAGTGGACACAGCAGCCTCGTGCCCCCTGGAACATAGCCACCTCCACGCTCCCTAATAAGAGGCCAGCACAGGAGATCCTACCTCAGCTGAGCCAGAGGCACCCGCCCAGCCCTGCCCTGGAGGGTCAAGGTGAGCCCCAGACAACAGTGGGCCGTTCTGGCTCACTCCAGGGAAGTGAAGACAGGGGCGGGGGCAGCAGCCGCTGAGGGGGCCCAACAGCACACCATCAGTGTCCCTCCGAGGAGTCGGCACCTGGGAAGGGGACGCTGGACTGCCAGATTTCTGAACTCCCCCTTCTGGTGGAAAGAGCCCTCATCCTCCAGGGCCAGCCTGGAAGTCAGTCTTGCTCGGTCTGCCCTGATTCGCTCGGGAAGCCAGCAGGGTGTTTGGATATCCAGTGAGAGACTGGCAAGACATTCCAAACCCTAGGTCCTTCTCCCACAAAAGATCCAGGGATGTCCATCTGTCTTGTGAGAAATGGCTAGGGAGATCATTTGCCCTGCTTCTTCTATCTTGGAAAATTTTCCTCTTGAGAGAAGGACAACCCCCCACATTCTTTTTTCTCAACACTTTTCAGAAAAGTAGTTATGTCACCCTTTTCGATAAGATCTATCTGCAAAGCAACAGCCTGGGTTTGAGGCACTGTTGTTTACAAAATTGTGTAACAGGGCACTCGAAAATTTGGTGGGTTTGGTGTAATGTGAGAACCATTCATTTAGCTCATGATCCTACAGGTCAGTTGGGCCAGCCCCTCCGCCAGTCTCATCTGGGCTCACTCATGCTTTTGTGGACAGTTGCCCTTTCGGCTGAGGGCTGATTGGACGAGACAGGCCTAGCTGGCACATCTCATGGCTTTTGTCCTGCAGTGGGCTGGCCCAGGCTTGTTCACAGGCTCCAAGGGGCACAGAGGAAGGGCAAGCCTCAGTGTACAGCACGTTTCAAGCCTTTGCTTGCCTCACACTTGATAATATTCATTGGCCAAAGCAAGTCATGCGACCAAGCCCAGAGTCCGTGTCGGTGGGCACTACCGTAGGGTGTGGATGCTGGGATCACAGAGATGAGGGAAGGAGATCATGGCCATTTTTGCAACCTACCGCTATGCTCTTGCTTGATCTGGACCCCAACCTGGTAAGACGTGCCAAGCACCTGTTAACTGTATGAGCCACGCATACGCACATCCCCACTTCATGGAGTGTGGCACAAGACCCAGAGAAGTACAGGGTGTTGCCCCAGGTCATACAGCAGGCTGGCTTGGAAGCCTCTCTCCCAGGTGCCAGCCCACTGCCCCACACCACCTCCCTTGGCCCCCTCTATGGTGACCCTGGGCCAGGGAGTAGATGACATGTCACCCAGGAGCCAAACCCTGGCTGTCCCCCCACAGACATCCAGCAACAGAGACAGCACAGACCCTGGCGTCTGCCCTGCCCAGGCACTGGCCTCTGGGAGCCACCATCTCAGCCCTGCGGCCCATGCTGCTCCCGCTCTGGCCCAGCATAGAGTGGCAGGCTGATTGTTTTACTCCAGGGTCTTCAGAAAGTCTTGTGCAATCTTAAAACTTTGCAATGGGAGTAGGTGATAGTGTGACACTGGGAAAGGCCAGTCAGCAGTATTTAGAGGAAAATTAAAACTTCTCACATCTCCTAGGCACATGGTTCCACGGGCCACGTTTACCTTGCCTGGCCCAGGAGCCCAATTGCCATTTCTCCTGCCCCTGTGTGCCTTGAAGGTCTGTGTTCCGCTGCGCACATCCATCTGCTTTCCAATGCCTCACGCGCCTGCTTCTGTCCCACCTGCATCCGCCTGACTGTCAGAGTTTGCAGGAGCACAAAGATCAGAGCCAGGAGATCTGGAGGCCAATGGGCCCAGTCCGGCCACACGAGTCCTGGGTGCCCACGAGGCAGCGCTCTGCCAGCTACACCCCCAGTTTCCGTGCACCTGAGCCCAGGCACCTGGCCATCCATCAGCACATCCGTCTCCACACCTACCCTCCTCCTTTCCAGCGATGTGTGACAGTGAAAAGCAGCAAAGGAGGACCCGGGTCTTTGGAGGGCCCCCCATACCCTGGGCCTCCTCACTGATGGATGGCCAGCTGTACATGTCAGCCCTGGCCAGGCTGCAAGGACAGCCAGCAGTGATGCCTGTGTGGAAGATTAGTGTCTGAAGAGGATGGTTAGCACACTTGGATTTGTCCTGTCTTAGTGCTTCTCCGCGGGGTCTCAGACTGGGCTTGAAAACAAGTCCTGGTGGGCGAGATGCGCACCGCAGACGGCCTCTGCCCCCTTTCCATTCAGATGTTTGAACACAGCCCCTGTTTCCCAAAATGGGCAGATGGGATCCTGAAGTCTACAGCAGGGATGGCCCCTGGATCATCGATCCATCCCTCTCCTTCTACAAAGGGAGACTGGGCCCAGGACACAGTGACTGCCAGAGTAAGATGGCTTCGGGACTGGGGGAAACACCTTGGACAGAAGATTTCTGGCTCTTCCAGCTGGAGAGGGGCAGGTCATGGGCTCAGGCCCTGCCTGGTCAGGGAAGCCAGAAACCCGGCCTGCCTGGTTGCAGCTCTTGCGGGCAGCAAAGTAGAGGTGGCCACGGCCTCCGTACCACCTGCTTGGCCACACCTCTGTGCCACCTGCTTGGCCACACCTCTGTGCCACCTGCTTGGCCACGGCCTCCATACCACCTGCTTGGCCACGGCCTCCATACCACCTGCTTGGCCACACCTCCGTACCACCTGCTTGGTCACGCCTCCGTACCACCTGCTTGGCCACGCCTCCGTACCACCTGCTTGGCCATGCCTCTATACCACCTGCTTGTCCACAGCCTCTGTACCAGCTGCTCAGCCACGACTCTGTACCACCTGCTCGGCCACAGCCTCTGTACCAGCTGCTCGGCCACGGCCTCTGTACCAGCTGCTCGGCCACGGCCTCTGTACCAGCTGCTCGGCCATGGCCTCTGTACCAGCTGTTTGGCCACGCATCTGTACCACCTGCTCGGCCACAGCCTCCGTACCACCTGCTCGGCCACAGCCTCTGTACCAACTGCTCGGCCACGCCTCTGTACCACCTGCTTGGCCACGCATCTGTACCACCTGCTCGGCCACAGCCTCCGTACCACCTGCTCGGCCACAGCCTCTGTACCAACTGCTCGGCCACGCCTCTGTACCACCTGCTTGGCCACGGCCTCTGTACCACCTGCTTGGCCACGCCTCTGTACCACCTGCTTGGCCACGGCCTCTGTACCAGCTGCTTGGCCACGGCCTCTGTACCAGATGCTTGGCCACGCTTCTTTACCACCTGCTTGGCCATGCCTCTGTACCACCTCCTTGGCCCAGGGAAGGGCCTCCTGCCTCTCTCCAACCTGGTGCAGAGCTCTAGCCCAGCGGGCTGGCTGGAGTGAAGGGAGGAGAGAGGCCTCCAGAAGGTGCAAGTGAGCAGGGTGGGGCTAAAAACTTGACATCCCCACAGCCCGACCCTAAGCAAGCTGGCAGTTGATGTCCCCAGGGTTTGGGCAACACGTCTACACTGGCTCCTTTTGGGACCCCTGGAGCATCCCACCTTCCAGGGGAAGCCTGGGGCCTTCCAGGAGATGCAGGCCCTGATGACAGACAGGCAGGAAGCCAGGGCAGGCTGCCCAGGGAAGGCAGAGTGAAGACACATGGCACCGTTCCGGTGGTGGACCAGCGGCCCAAGTTAATGGCAGCACTGGAGAAGCAGATGGAAGTGACCTTCCACTAGAACAGTGCAAGGGTCACTCTTCCAGGAACCTAGCCCACTCACCTCCATCAACCAGTGATTTCTGAGCTCCCCACTTTAACCCCAAGGGCTCCACTGACAGTACATGGAAAGAAGACCCAGAAACATCAGGATGCCTAAGACAGCATTCGTGAATACTAAACTGTGCAGTTCAGGCAGGGGTTGGAGGGGTTGGAGTCGTGTGCAATCGTGGGGTCTCCCTGGAGGAGGGGGGAAGCTGGGGCTTAAATGCAGAGGGTACGTCTCAGTATACATTGAGGGGAGTGGTGGGGGAGCATATTGTCTTTTGATTTAGCTAAAATAACAACGTGGACTTGAGAAGTGCAATCTAGCACACCCAGCTTCAGGCCAGGGGGGTACCTTGTGTCTGACCAGAGTAGGCTTCTAAAACGTGTGGTCTATAAATAACAAACAGCAAAATGCCCCATCATGGTATGGAAGCACCACCAGGCATCAGCTGAGTGCCGAGCTTCTCCCTGGTCTGCTCGTGGCCACTAGGTTCTCATGAATCAGACGTTCACCGTGCCCATTTTCTCGTCCCCTGCAGGCATTGGCCCTAGCTCCGCCACAGACCCACTCCTGTCCCTGCTCCTGCTAGCTCTGCATAAGTTCCTTCGCCTGCTGGTGGGGCACTGACGGCCACAGCCATCCTGCGCACCTCAGCCGCCCCGCACGGCCTGCCCGGACCCGGTGTGAGGCCCGCAGCTACAGATGGACACAGAGAGACTGAGAGAAGCATGACAAAGTCCACATGGAAAATAAATAAATCATATTTTTGGGGGAGGTTACACAAATGTAGAACACCTAAAATAATGCATCTAGTTTCCAAATAAGATGGAATTTGGACCATGCGGTATGCATGGGATTGGTGATTTCTCTACTTCAACGTATTTTTCTTTTCTAAACTTTTCCTCCAAGTCTTCATTTTGCACGAACTGTTGAGCAGTTATCTTTAGGATACTATGTAAAAATGTTGGGTCAAAGCCTTTTTGACAAAGCAAAATATTTTTAGTAGATTATTGTGTTTAGGAATTTTTTATTTACTTTTTTTCTTTGGGGGCTTTCCTTTTTTTTTTATTAAAGTAAATTATTTCTTTTGAGACATTTTGATTAAAAAAGATACATCTTATCATAATTAAAATTCACTGTCAATAATATTTATTTTTAAATAAAGATTGGAAACAAGGTCAGACACTTGTTTATAAACTGTATTGTATATTGCTGATAACAGTTGAATAAAAAACAACTTTGAAATAACCTTTCTGCAAGCATGTATGAATGTTAAGCCCTGGAGCCTAGAACAGCCCAAATGCCATGACCTGCTGTTCTTTGAAGCCAGCTGCACACTTGGCGGGATGCAGCCCAGCATGGAGGCCAGCCCAGGGAACCTGGCCAAGGCTGCACAGAGCGGACAAGAGTGTTTCCCAGCCTCCACGAGGCACAGGGGACCTCACGGAGCCAGGAGCGAGAGGAGCCCCCAGCCTGGGTTCAGAAGGAAAGAAGGTCGCTGGGAAGAGTGTAATTTAAATCAGGAACCACTTTTCCCCTTTTGGTTTATAGTAGTGCAATGCATTTGCCCACGTGGGGATGACAATTTCACGTCCAGGTGTATTTGCTGTTATTGGATTCACTGCTAGTTTGAGAAGGGAGTTCTGGGAGAAGGTGGGGCAGCTCATGTTCTTTCTATATGCGTGGAGGGATAGCTTTGAGCCTCTGAAATACATGTGCCTGGGTAGGTGCCACATGTCTTAAAGAAATAGACGTGACTTGGGGGCTGTTATTCATCCCATGATAGGATCGCATTAAATAGCCCTGAACCCACTGGATTTGTTAATCTAGCCAGTTTTTTTTTAAAGTGTGTTTGTGCTTGATACACCTCATCTTCTCACATTCTGTGGCAGGTGGGGCCTTGTAACCAGCTCTGACCAGGGAGTGGTGAACAGAAGGGGTATCCATGACTACCAGTCCCAGGCATTTGACTGCTAGTGCAAGACCCTTCAAAGCCCTCTCTTCCTCTGATAGGAAGACTGGCGATTTTCAAGACTAAATACTCAGCTCTCCTAGGTCCTGAGTTTCTATGGTGCACGGAGCCCCCTCTGCTGGCCAGCACTGGAAATGCAGCACCGTGGGCTGTTGGAAGCCACTGAGCTTTGGCGTCTCCAGCGTGGCACAGTCCAGCCTATCTCCGCTGACTCGGCAAAGCACTGCCGTATTCCCTTGAGGGGTGAGAGGAAAGGAAGGTGCATTTGGAGGACCCCACGAGTGCAGAGACCCCCGGTGTGGAGCTGTGATGCCCATGGGGAGACCACCTCCGGTTGCTGTTTCTGGCGGATACATTTAGTTGTTCACATTTCATTTCTATTGATCAGCAACAATCAAGCTGTAAATTTAATCATTTGTCTGGTGGATAGTGATTCTGTCCAGAGTATCATCTCTTTTACAGCTAATTCAATACTGCAGCGGGCTAATGTCATGTTAAATACAGGCCCTCTGTGCTTGAAAAGAAAGAGGCACCTCCCGGGCAGACTCCAGGTTGAATGGAAACGATGTGTGAGTGGTGGGCTAACATGGTGCCAGATCGCTCCAGGGACCGGGAGCTGGGGAGCCGTTTCCCATCCCCAAAACCAGACCCCTCTGCATATGTGCGGTCAGCCAGGTTTCTGCCGGAAGCAACTGGACCTGATGCACACGGGAAAGAAGCAGGCAGATGTGTTCTGGGGAACTGCTCTCCTGGGCCGCCCGCATTCTGCACAGATGGGCAGCACCTCACACTCGGAGGAACAACACAATGAGTTCTCCTCGGGACCAAGGATGTCCAGGAAGGAAGTCATGGGTGAGGCTGGGCTTAACCTCCCGACAGAGGCCAATGGAAGTCAGACCAAGGCCAAGGCGGAACTGGGGTCCATGAGAGGCAAAAACAAATCCCTCTGACCGTGGACCCCTGCTGGTTCAGTGCCCTGGACTCAAAGGAAGGAGAAGTAAAGGGTGCACCTGTGCACCCAGAAAGCCGATTGACAAAGACCTCCATACATGCTCCCTGAGGTCCCGCCTGTGGCGTTCCGAGATGCCGACAAAGAATGGGCAGGTTCCATTGAGTTTTATGAGATGTATACAAGCCAGGAGGAACAAGCACCTATCCAAAATGGAAACCATGGGATGGGGCTCACCACCCAAACCACTTTTTCCCTTGGATTTTGGTCCGAGTCCACGGCAGACGGGGGCTCAGGTATGAGGACAAAGATGAATATTTTGATCTGAGAAGAAGGGACTGCAGGTGATTCAGGAGCTCTGGCCCCAAGCTGTGAAGACCACCCAGTTGGCTAGAAGGGATTGTGGAGGTATGGGTCATCGTTGCAAATAACACCAAAACAGAAGGCAGGAGGGGAGAGGAGGGAAATGATGGCAGGGCAAAGTCCACCCCCACAGGAGACTGTGTGGGGGTGTGGGGGAGGGCAGGAAGGGGGCGAGGGGAACAGGCATGTTGGAGAGAGTGGGCCACACCCCAGACCCAGGGGAGTGGCCCTGCGTTCTGTAGTCATGATAAGGGCTGCCCCTGGTTGGCAGCACCCCGTGGTGCTGACCCATATGTGTCCTCCAGGCAGCATTTCAGAGCAAAGCTTTGCAGGAAGGATAGGAGTCCTCAGAGAAGTGACAGGAGGTGACGTGACCAGAGGCAGTGGCATTCTGACTTTCAGTTTCAGTTCTGTGTCAACCCCACATTCCTAACTACGGCTCTGACCCAAAAAACAGAGCTCCGTCTGACCGATCAAGACTGGCCTTGTTGGAATATGACGAAGTGAGCCATCTGTGAGCTGAGCTTGTGCGAAGGGGCTCCTTGACACTGGCCGGTGAGGGTCTAATTCCTGCTTATCTCTGCACTGCTTCCCCACACAGGCTTGTCCCCGTATCAGATGGCATCAGGCATCCATGTTGCCAGCGTTTCAGAAGGTGCACCCCCTGCTTTTTCTGGATAACAAGCGGCAAGAGGCTCACATGTGCGGGCACACGTCCGCTCAGCAGCCTCCTGCTTCAGAACACTTTTGCTTTCTTTGCAGTGAGTGATGCAGCAGTGGGAGTGGCCCAGCGCTTGGGGGAACTTCAGTCACCCTGGCCGCACGGTGGTTCTGCTGCCCCTCAGGCCCAGGAAGAACCTTTACCAGGTGCCCACAAATGCATTGAAAACCCATGACCTATAGGAAGGACCCACCCCCTCTTGTGCCTGCAGATACAACATGAGGTCAAGTCCGAACACAACACCAGCAGGGACCCCTTTTAAATGACAAAGAGCCGCGGAGCACTAAAAATATATATCAAGTCAGAGACCATGACCCTACACCAACTCTAATGTGCCACCAACTCGCAGAAACCCAACGAAAATCAGATTTGTTCCCTGCACTTCATTTTTTTTTAAAGAGGCAAGGGATAAGTAATACTCTTGTCAATAAGTGATAATCTTAGAAAATATGGGTGATTATCTTTTAGATTTTGAAGTTGGGGAGGATTTCTTAAATAACCCCCAAAAGTGGTAACTATAAGAGAAGAAATGGATGATGGTGACCAAGTATAATGAAGAACATTTGTTTGTCAAAAGAAAGTGAAAAGAGACTTACAAAATGCAACCAGTAAAGGATTAATAACAACAATGTACAAAGAACTAGAAATCAGTAAGAAAAGCACAGATGATACAATGGAAAAATGGACAGAAAACATGAACCACAAAAAATATGGCTTGTAAACATAAAAAAGGTGTTCAGCCTCACCTCACTAGTGATAACAGAAATGCAGATCAAATCCATAATAATTACGGCCACTCAGTTACCAACAATGTGGAAGTCGGAAAATACCAGGTGTTAGGATGTGGATCACAAGATCTCTCAGGCATTGACTGTGGGAGCATAAATTGGTGCAACTTCATTGGACACACTTTGCCACTGACTGTCAAGATTGAACATTCCTGTTACCCTATGGCCCAGCAACCCCACTCCTACGTGGCAAAAGTCTTGCTCGTGGGCACCAGGGAACATGTACACAAAAGCTAATGGCAGCCCCATTCACATAACCTGGAAACAGACAAGTTCCCGTGGACAAGAGAATGGATGAATATGCTGTAGAATATTCTCAGAAGGTAATATTACATAAGAGTCAAAACAAGTGAACTACATCTTATTATCTATTAGTTGAAAATTATAAGCCCCAAAAGATTACATACAGTATAATAGTCTTTTTATAAAGTTAAATCCCAACTAAAGCCAACAGATAGAGGATGGAGGGATGGATGGATGGAGGGACAGACTCTTTATAAAACCTATAGATGAGATAAAACTATCTAAAAAGGAAAGCCAGAGAGTGATGAATATGGATATGGAACCATGGTTACCTTGGTCAGAGGAGGCAGAGAGATGGGGTGAAGGGGGAGCCCACAGGTGGATGTAGGGCATTATCAAGATCTTAGTTTTCAAATTCAGTGGTGAGTTCGGGTACTGATTGCATTATTTTGAATGAAGGAGTGAATAATAACACACTTGAATCAATGATGAGAGCTTATCACAAACAAGGATAGTGATCAATCAGTTCAGCGCAGGTGAGGTTAAAAACAAAAGAAGAAAAGACTGAGTCTCATCAGGGATTTCTATTAAGTCAGAAAAGTAACATTCAACTTTCCCTTTCTACAGCCTCCAAGACAAACTCACACCTACCTCAGTCTCCTGCCCAGAGGTTGCAAACTGAAAGTTCATGAGCTACCTCTGGCTCACAGACATATTTTGCTTGGCCTGCACAAGGATGTTGATATTATTTTACAATATCAGGAGCTCTCATGTAAAAATTCAAATTTCTGGCTTCTCTTGAGAAAATCATAGTATGTTGCCACATGGGGCCCACATTCCTATGTGGTGACAATGGGTGGGTGCCAAGCAGCTGTCCCCTGAGAAAGAGCAGTCTCCCCACTTCCCGACAAGCCCTACCACTCTCTCGCCCCACCCAGCCTGCTTCATGCAGGTGCCCAATCTGTGAGCACCTGGGGGCCAATGAGCGTCCCCCCACCCAGGAGGCCCCTTGCCAGCCTCCATCCTGCCTCACCCTCAGCAGCCTCTGAG